TTGTTGAAGTTTCCTTTTATTAAAAGTGTTTTTAAATAATGGTTTTGAAAAGTGTCCAAAAACACATACTGAAATAACAAACAGGGCAATCGGAGTGCCCCAGGTCTTAGCTGTTCAACACCCTTATCGGGGTGACTATGTCCATGAATCACTTTTTAAGTGAGTGTCGCACACGTTCCCCGTTCCCTTTTCCCAATTTTCCCTTCTTCAAAAGATGCTAAGGGATGGTGTCAAAAGGACAAGTGCCAGTGGCAGTGCCGGGCGAGCCGTTATGAAAATTCAATTTTGTGTCGAATTTATTAAAAGCAGCTTAAAAATGCTAAGCGCATTGAAAAGTAGACATTTGGGAATTCCGACAAGTGTAGATTTGAGCAACTTTATCCGTATATCCATCGTCCTCGGGGCGGTTTCAGTTTTCCTAATGTTTTGGCCGCAGGCTCTGGCCCGCATCAGTCCTAATGGAATAATTTTTGGCCTTAAGTTAATCAAAAGGGAGTTCGATCTGTCCAGAAAATGCATTCATATGGCGTATATATTCCAGATGGTCTCAACGGGTGCATGGCTTGCAAATTGAGTTAAATGATGGGAAATTATAGAAACTCAATTAGAATAAGCTATGGGAATTGTAAGGGAACTCCTTGTTCCTTATAATTCTACCATCAATTATATTTAAATTTATTATCAAAAGTATAAGAATTGAATAATTCATTTTATAATAAAACAAAAACTCACTATTAAGAACTATGAATACCTAAAAGACTTCCAAAAACCCCTCTCTATATCCCATAACTGTTAGGACATATCTTCCCCAAACTACTAACTTTGGTTTAACATAATGTTTCCGCCTCCAAAGAACCCGAAAGTCATCTTTTTCACAACTCATCGTAGTCCCTGGCAACCCGGATCCCTTTCCTCACCGTACTTAATCCTCAACTTTGATCACTTTTTTTCCAAAAACATTTTAATGTTGGGGGGGGGGAGGGGACACACATATTTTCCCATTTTATGTAAATCTTTCGGCACAAATGGCAAACCGCCCTCGGGGAAGCCCCGGCCAACCCTTGAACACTTTGCTGATTATTAAAAGCATACTTCTGGGCGGCGCCGAGATGATGAGGAGAAGGACAAGTGCATAATTTCCAATTGCTTTGTTTTATGTGCGACTTACGGGGTGTCCTTTTGTCCTTCTGCCGTTTCCCCTCCCTGAGTCCGCTCCTTTATTGCCGTACAATGTAAACAACAGCATCGAAAGCGTTTCAAAATTTCATTACTTTAATTTAATATGCAAAAAAGGGGGAATGCAGAGCTCTATCAGGGTTGAGACGGCATTTTGACATATTTTCATTTTCATTTACATTTTCATTTCACCGCTCACCATAATTTCGCATTTGATTGTGGAGATTTGAGAGCCCAAAGTGCGCAGCTTTGCACGCAGTGAGCAGGTTGACTTCCGCACCAGGACCTGTGGTCCTCGGTCACAAAAATAAGGGGTTGATTTTCCCAAAGATTCAACCCCCTCTGCGCTTATGATTATGATATTATTTCGAAATTATCCGCTTAGTTTCACGGCCTGGAAGCGGGCCATATGTGCGGCTGTTGTGCCGGAAAATGGAATCATTTCAGTGTTAATAATGATGACATATGATTTTCATTGTCAAATTTGTTGCTCTTCCCCGTTAAGTGAATTGGTCGCTTTGTCATCTTTTTTATTAAGTCAAGTCAAGGCAAGTCGAGTGGAGTGGAGTGGAGTGGATTGGAGTTAGTTATGGGTGTGTTTTGTAGCCGGTTGCGTTAAATTTGTTGGCACATCATTAGTCAGGGCCATGAAGGTGGACAAGAATCCAGGAGCCAGGATCCAGGATCTGTTTGCCGCATCTGTTTTGATATTTTGTCAAGGGGTGAGCCAAAAAGGGAAAAGGGTTACTTACATCACACAGACAATTGACTGAGCCAAGTGGGCGGACATTGGGTGCACTTTTTGATTTATGATTGACCATCTCAATGTCTGCCATTAGCTAGAGTTGAATTTTATGGTAGGAAAACTCGTTTAACTCAAATATGTGACAATAACAAAACAAATTACAGAAGAAAACACTGTTTGCATACTTACAAGATGGCAAAGAAAAGAGAGTGTCAGCCGATATAGCATACTTTATGTCTGTCTAAAGGAAATAATTTAATTAATTTGCTAACACATTTTCTATTTTATGGAAAGAGTAAAGCAATATCTAGTTGGTCGTAACTTTTCATTAAAATTCATAAAACTTTAGTGGAATATCGAGAACAGATCACGTTCGGACCATCAATCACATGACTGGCAATTCTTAATGGCCGCCAATCAAAGTCGGGCTGAAAATTACGCCAGAAAGTGACACAAAATCTCCGCCACCATGGGTGGTTCGGATTTTTCCCCCATGTCCTTGGTGTCCTTCGTCTGCTGGCAATTTCCACCTGCTGTGAGGGAAATTGTTCCTTTCGCCTTATTGAAAAACGCAAAATCGGAAAATCGCCGTGGAACACGACGAAGGGATTACGGATTACGTTTCGCCTCGCCGGGTGGTTTCTGCAGAGTTATTCGAGGCAAATTAATAAACGACCTACGGGGGGAAGAGAGGGTGTCCTTGGGGGTTGGGGTGCAAAGGAGTTGGAGTTGGGGAGTTCCTGTCGAGGTGAGACGCCGACAAATATCGTGTGATTTGTTCCCCGACTTTGCCACTTCCGTGATGTCTTTGCCGTTCCTGCTCCTTGCTGGGATTATAAAAATAAAAACTGCCTTTTGCCATATGCCATTTAAATGATAAAAGGATTTCGTCCTTCCCCCCAAAAAAAAGCTTGTATATACACACACACAGACAGAGGGACTAAGGCTGACCGCCCCCAAAATGGACACGCACACGTGGTCAATTGCGTTTGGGGTCAACCCTTTCGCACCATCGCCATCATTCTGCTGTCCAGCCTTTCCTCCAGCTCCAGCTCCAGCTCCAGGACCTTCCCCCAGGCAACGACTCACAAGGACACACAGAGAAATAAATGATACTCAAAAAGGTACTTAAACAGTATGAGGTAAATAGGGTTTATATATAGTAGATGTATTAACATATTATATTATATTTTCTTCTTCTAAGTATTGTATAATTTCATTCCATTTTAATCTCTAAACAAATTACTCTTCTCTCAGTGTAAAGCTCCTGGCCGGGCTCGAAGTGTCAGCACATTTTTCAAAGGCGCATATAAAATGGCAGTCATACATTATGGCCATATCTGCTTGGGCCAGTCCAAGTCCGCCGGCCGACCAACCGTTGTCAGTGGAAATCGGGGAAATGGCAATGGAAATATGGGTGTGGGGAAATGGGGTCGCACAAAGGGTCGGAATGGGAGCTCGGAATGGGGTAACCCCTTTCCCTTCCTTTTTATGTGTGTGTAATGCCTCGGTACAGATTATGCATTAAGCGCTTATTTAGCATTTTTCTTACATAATGTCGCTTCCACTTGGCAATGTCCAGCACGAAGGGGATGGTCCTTCTATATACTATATATATACATATACATATATAACCATAAAAAGTGGACAATGTTATGTGCCTTCTAATCTGTTTATGCTTATGTTACCTTTAGTACATTAACCCCTCTGTGGGTTAAGGGGGTGTCCAATGACTTACCTTAATCGCTTTTAGAAGGAAAGAGAGAAGGTTCTGGGATCAGACTTAAAACTTATGCTGTACTTATGCTACTTAAGCTAATAGATTAGGAAAGCAATATAATATTTATAGACTAAGTTCCTTTATAATAATTTTCTATATTAAGCAAATGGCTTCCCTTTTATTTCAGACTTGGTTTTAAATGTAATTTCCCCTATTCAATTGGGGCTCAATGCAAATGGATTGAAGACGCGCAGGACGATGAGGGAATAATTACTTTTTTCCCTAATTAATTTGTTATTTTGACTTGCTCCTCATCTGCCCGTTGGCAGAGTCTCCTGCACAGCCTTCTCACTGGCTCATTTCTTTCTTTCTTTTTTTTTGCCTGTCCGAGCCGGGCTTATTTCGCTATTAGCGAAGAGCTCTGGTAGGCAGAATGGATAATTAAATAAAGCACCGGACACTGTCTGGGAGGAGGAGGAGGATTGCTTCAATTTAATGAAAATTGCATTTTAATTTCATAAACAGAGACTCTAGAAATTCGTGCCAATTAAAATGGCAAACGCTTCCAAGGCCGAAACCTTCATAATTTCCAACCTCCCGCACCCCGATGTGGCTTAAAATAATTGCCCAGTTGGCTTAAAGTGGACACACGAGCATTTCATAGTTGGGACTCCGCCCACCAAAAAATAAAAAAGGAAAAGAAGCCCAACTGTGGGGGCAACAAAAAAATGGTTGCTTAAAAGTGTCCGTTTTTTATTTGATTTCCTTTCTTTTTTTTTTGTTGCTGCTGCCTTTGGTTAGCTGTCGCTCACGTAGGCAGTGTCCATGTAATTAAATTAAAATGGAAAATTTACTCGTACTGCGGATTAAATTAATTTTCATTTGCATTTGCATAAGTTTGTCCAGCTCCTCGTTCCACTCAGGCCCTTGTCCATTCATTAATTCCTTCAGTATGCCATTTATTGCTAAGCTTGCTGGAAATGTGCCTTAGTTTCTATTTTGGACCATGTCTATTAGAGAAACATTCGGACTCTGGCTAAAATAACGAATATTTCTAATGAAAACTTAATGGATATATTATATCGGAGAATATAAAGTACATTAGTATATTAGTCCATAAGTAAATGTTGATAAAATGCTTTAGTTTTCATGTCATTATGGTCACATAGTGTTATTATATGTATTTATAATGCGATATTATCGACACTATTAAAATCTAATTTGACTTATTAAAGTGATCAAAGTAATCATCTGTAAACACAATTGCAATATTTCGTTCATGAATTGCTATTAGTTTTACTCTGCCAATCGATGGATTATAAGCTATATTTTTTGTTTCAACTTGGGTTGGCAATGACTATGCCCAATGAGGTAAGTGTACCGGAAAGAATAAATAAAACTAATATATAAATTAAAATACAATTCTAGATTTCCTCTCGAGCTGAATTTACAAACTTTGTTTGCACATCCATGAATAAGGACTTTGCCGACTTTGATTATTGTGTTCTGAAGGCTGTGAATCGAACTTATAAATATGTTTCCATGAAGTTAACTCTCTATGAAAAGCCCCTAAAAAGTCTGAGGGTGAACTTTGCGCTATATAAGAGGGCTAATGGATATAAACCATTTTTGTACAACCAAACTGTAGATGGTTGTAAATTTTTTAAAAATCCAAAGTCTAATATTGTCACACAATACTTTTTTGGTTTCATTAAGGAGATTACCAATTTGAGTCATCCGTGTCCCTACAATGTAAGTACTGTTTGTTAATAGAAAAAAGAATATATTTTAAATATAAATGTAATGTTCCATATTAGGAAGATTTTACTATGGAAAAGCTCTCGCTTGAGATGGTCAACTATCGAATAACGAATTTGCTTCCCTTTCCGGAAGGTGAATACATGTTTCAGGCAATTTGGACCGGCAACAATAAAGGGTCCGTCGTTTTCAAACTTTACATACAACTAACTAACTTTTAAGCCAATAAGAAATATATACTATAATATATAAAATGAATAAACAAGGCTTTTAAACATATTACATATTTGTGTATATAAGTTTAACTTAAAGTTAGTTTGGCTAAACCTTCCAATTTTAAGTAGTTTTCATCAACAGAAGCCGTCTAAAAAGAGAAAAACAAATACATATACAAATATATATTTTATAATGATGTTTTACTGGACTTACCGGATCCCTGAATATACGCTTGTTGGAAGGAAATTTAAGCCTCAGAGGAGATTGAGTCTTTGAATTTCTCACCGATTTCAGAGTATTTGAAGCTTGAAGCAAAAAGTCGCTTTTAATTAACTGCATTGGAAACCAAAAGTCTAGGTCGATCGACTCAAGAACCTCACACGATTGAAGAAGGCAAATGAGATGCTGGGAAAGTTCGCAAAAATTCTCCAGAGATCTGATTTCCAAACTTTCGAGACGCTTAAGTTTACAAAAATGGGATAGAGCACTTGAATCCTGGAGTCCGCACATTAATTTTGTTAAAGAGGAAATGTGAGCTATGGCGGCTGCCTCTTCTGGGCCAATGTACCTGTGCCTTATGATCAGTTGCTGCAGATTCTGCGACTCATTTAAAGCTAATGCTTCGAGAAGGAACTTAAGGCAGTGCATTTCCGGTGGAAGTTCGATTACCAGTCGCTGGGGATCGAGGTACTGAACCACACCCTCAAAGCCATCGAATGTGAGGAGGTCCTGCTTAATGTCCTGTGGCAGTCGGGCAATGGTATCCCCATTGGCAGTATCCTCAAAAGTTGCAAGACTATGCTCCCTCGAGGTTATGACCAGAGTTTCATCTCCGGCGATAGCCTAACAAGGTCGCTTATGATGCTTGGATCTTCAGCGAATCTGTAAAACAATCTCTGCAATGACTTCATATTACGTATTTCGTCAGCTTCCTCCCGGTTGATGGGTGATCCTTTGACGATCAAGCTCCTTAGAAGGGGTCTGTTCTTGAAGACTTCTACTAGAGAGATGTCCTGTCGATCCTTCGTTACTGTCATATCTAGGATGTAAGTGGGTTGACCTTGATAATCGACAACCACTGTGGTGTTGTAGCAGCACTTTATTCTCTTCAGGGATCTCATAGCAGCCACTTGCACCTCCTCCTCGTCAGTGAGCTGACCATCCTCAATAACCAAGTACTCCAGACGTGGCGATTCCATTGAGTTTATATTCCGCAAAAGATCTTTCAGGGATCCCTCTTGGTGAGTGCTTACAATCAGTTCGGTTAGTTGGGGAAGACCAGCAATAAGTTCGACGTTCTGAGCTCCCGAGAATCCACATTTCAATTTCTTTAAAGACTTTATGGAGGTAATCTCTTTCAGCTCTGATGAGCTAATGGTTAGCATGTCCAAGTCAGGGTCTATCTGCTTATTTCCCACCACCAGCTCTTGCAGATCCTGGCAATGCCTCGAGGCGAGCTGCGAGAAGAATAGTTGAAGGGAACTCTCCATGTGACTACCAAAAATGTGTACAGTCTGCAAGTTCTTCAGTGTGGCAAGTGGAGCAAAGTCAGTGGCATCATTTGAGGAACTACTGAATCTATTCGAATCGGTGTTACTCAGGATCAAGTGACCGGTATTGATGTTGTAGCTTACTTCTTTGTCCCTCAGACGAATGGTTATTTCCTCCTTAATGGAATCTAGTATATGGACAATTTGCTTGGGCAATCGGTTATCAAATGAATCTCCAATTTTCAAATATCTCAAATGGCAGAGGTGTTCAAGGCTTAGTGCGTTGCTCAGTTTGCCATGGAACTCCTTCAGGGTCTTTATCTTGCCCAGTTCTTCAGTCTCATTAAAGTCGAGAGAACCCTCTAGAATGCGAATCTCCATCAGCTGACAATTGCCACTTATTGCAATCGCTTTAAAATAAAAACTTAGGTTGCATGGCTTAACATTAATGTCCAGACTTTTAACCCATTCCAAATTGGTCAGGGGATGCAGCATTGTCTTTCTGGAATATATTGTTTTGGGATGAAATTGCAGCTGGAGGTGCTTTTGCTGTCGATCAATCCCCATAGCTACGTCTTGGGTAAATATTTTTAGAATTTTTCCGCAGAACTGAGATACCTTGAGTATAACATCTGATATTTCGTGAAATTGGATCTCCGATGACAACATAAAGTCTCAAGATTGACCCAACCAAGACTGGAGAATAACTGAATGTCATCGGCATCGTGGAAAACGAATTTCAGGGTTTTCAATGATTCTATCTGCGCCAGAGCAGAAGCTTCCTGGCAATCGATTTTCCATTTGACAACTTAAAATCCCAGAGGCTGGGAGAGTTGGATGCGGCCAGATTCTGGAATAGACCAACGAGAGAGCCATTTTCAGGCTTTATGGTAATGGTCAAGATTCGAAGTCGCGAAAGTTTAGCCAAGAGATCTACGTTTTGGGTATCCGAAATACCGAAAATAAGTTTACTCAGTGATTTACATCTCGATAGAGCCACAATTTCCTGGGCATTGATCAGAGGATAGTCCGGATAGGATAGCTTCCAGCCTCTTCTGGTAAAGTCCAGCAAAACAAGGGCATTCATCTCTCTTATTTTCAACGTTGTCACTTCTACTCTGGCCAACTCATCAAAGAGTTTAACCAAAGTGCCCGGCTTATGATGTCCATTTATTTCCAAAGTTTTTAAATTTGGCAATCTCATTAATAGTCCATAATCGGTGGCATTGTGACCTTGCATCAGAACAAGCAGCAAAGCATCTTCTTTGGTATTATATCCAATCATGCAGCCTGGCAAGTATATCTTTCTCGGTCCTTGGGAAGACTGTAAAATGTGACAAATCTGATCCCCTATATGTTTGAAATCATGATGGGAAAGTATATCCAAATTCTTAAGCTTAGTTAGATCAGCCAAGGGTCCAATGTCCTGTGACCCGTTACATTTGTATCTCAATTTTGTCAAGGACTTAATACGAGACAACTCCGTGGTCTCTGTGGATACTAGAGAGGCATCATCTACGAACAGTGTGGAGAGAAGAGGCTCTGGCTCCCTTCTGGCCAATCTCCCGAAGAGTGCCTGCAGGGTGCCCCTCTCATGCTCTCCCCAAATCTGAAGCTTTTCCAGCTTGGGCATCTTGGCCAATGGGGCATATTCCGAGGCATCGCAATCTAACTTCATCTTGAAGGCAAACTTGCGAACTTGGCAGCAGAATGGCACAATGTCGGACAATCTTCTGCCGCCACTTTGAGGATCACAGACCATAAGAAAGTTAATTTCTTCATTATTGCGACAGCATTCAGTCAGTTCTTCAATGTCAACGTTCACATCCAGGAGGAGTTCCTTGAGGTTGCCAAAACCGTGAAGGTCAACCAAGGTATAGCCTGGAAATTAATATAGGACATCAGTCTTAAATGGTCTTTACATTATTATTATATCATTTACACTTACTTGCCATATTAACTTTTAACGTTTTAAGACCCTTCTTGGCCCTCAGTAGTTTCATCACGGATCGAATACCTCCATGTGCTCTCTGTGATGGCTCTCTGGATAGTATCTCAGCTCCACGCTGGTCAGTCCATCATTCTCTTCGAGGGCTTGAGTAAGGGATTTCCAATAGCTTTCCTTTACCTTCTCTGGAAGCCCCTTCAAGCGTTCGTACAGCTCTCCAAAGTCTATACATATTTTGGCCACTGAACTCACATCGAGCAGAAAGAGTCTCTCGCTCAGTTCCATGTCCCACTCATAGAAGAGGTGTCGGAATGGTGGATATATACTGAGGAAATTTTTCAAATCCATATACTTCAAGTCGTCCAGTGATTGCATTTCATTTGCTTGTTCGCAGTTCAATCGAATCTGCTTGAACAAGGCAAAGTAACAGAAGTGATTCAGGTCCAAGATTGTTGTTTCAAACATTTTCCTTGGTTTATCAGTTAATAATTGCACTTTCTAGTATTTGTTTACATTTTCTTCACTGCCGTTGATAAGCGTTCAGAACTGAGAGTAAAAAGCAACTGAAACGTGTTCAAGAGTTTGTTTATATTTATAATTTAAAAAGCTTTTTCGCTCTCTCACTCTGTTATCGCAAATATGAAAGAGAAACTGATCGCATACTCTTATTTTTGTCATAATTTCTCTTTCTGGAGTACCCAAGTTGTATTTAATTTAATGAAGCATGACATCATAAGCTTGGAATAGTATTAAAAGTTATATATGTAAATGTTTAAAGTAAATGAGAAGAGAAAATAAATATATATAAATAATGTATTTACTAACTTGAGAGCTAAGGTAATCTGATGACTGTGTACACCTGCAGGATTTGGATTCTTCTCATATCAGGGATTCTTATGTGTAACCCTCACCTGTGTTTATGATGTCCTGGTTAGACGACATGGAGGCATAAACATTCCTTTCTCTATGGCAGCCGGCAGGCAGAGCTGAGAAATTTATTGTGCGAACAATGTTCAAATTCCAAATTAAAATCCCTCAACGAAAATTATTACATTTCATTTAAACCGAGCGAGTGCAACTTAGGGCACATCATAATTAATCCCCATCCAGAATCCGACCAGAACTGGGACCCACTCTAAATGGGGATATGTGGGTGTGTCTGGATGTGGATGTGGATGTCATATAAATTCCATAATACGGTGTAATTAAATTTAAGTCAAACTAACGCTTACGTAAAGCTCCCCCATAATTGAGAGGGCATCATATGAATGCCATGGTAGCACTGAAGGAAAAAAGGATTAAGTTCTATGAGAATGAGCTGTAATAGAAGTTGAATATCTAAGTATTTCATGATAATACATATCAGGCAGAAAGAGAAACCCTGTCAGGGCAGGAAACCCTGAATACCTTCAAGAATAAGGCTTAAATCCTTGCCTAAAATATATTTTATGTACTAAACTCTTAGACAAATAATAAAAGCTAAATATTTGGTTATTTTCTCAGTGTATATTTCAGTAAGTGAAGCTTTAAAACGTACTGTATCTTGTGGGGCATATGAAGTCATAAACAAAGTGAGCAATTAAGCTGGTTTTACTGACAGGTCTAACCAGTTCGTCCTTATTTTACCCCTTAGTCCTTTTCCAAAAGGAATTTCCTTTCTTTTTTTCTGTTCAACTTATTTTTACAATTTTTATTGTTTATAATTTACGAGGCAGCAGGCTCTGCGGTGGAAATTCCCTCAAGTCAAAGTCGCGGACACGACATGGCGGCCGAGTGCCAACCTTTGTCCACTGACAGAACCTCGTTCCCCTGACCCCTGACCCTGACCCCTCCCCTCTTCACTGACCCTTCACTGACCCTCGGCTGACCCTTGCAGGAGCTCATTACAAAATGTTGGCGTCGCCTGTCAGCTACACATGAAAATTGCACAACTTTTGCCTTATTACGAGCGAAATGTGCGGAAGAGCAGGAATGAGCCGTGAAATCCTTCCTCTTGCTTCCATTTTTTTTAGTCTATATATATTTAAACATTTTTGTTGCTGATGTTGTTTTTTTTTATTCGTTTCAGTTCCCTTTTGCTCATTTTATTTTAATTTTGTGCCTTACTCTCTCTCACTTTTCCTTTGGTTCCGCCGCCTCGTTCTTTTTATTCTAATTAAATTTTTTTGCTTAAGGGAAGGGCGGCGGCCCAACGAGGCAAATTTATTCTTCTGTAAAAACAAGAAAAATTACGCAAAATAAATAAATTTACATAAGCTCGGAGTGAGCGGAGACAAAATAAAACAAGAAAGGAAGCTAACTTCGGCACGCCGAAGTTTATACCCTTGCAGAAAGAATTCTATGACTAGGAATCCATACCATATAAATTATATATATTTGTGTTAAAAAACAATGAAGTAATACCTGCTTTCATTTCATTCACCTATACATATTATATTTGCAGCTTTTCATTCACAGATTTCCATTTTTCTTCTACATCAAACAATAGTTTGTATGGCACCTATATGATATAGTCGTCCGATTTTCATGAAATTTGACACAAAATTTAAGACTAATATAAAATGGCTACACCTCAAATTTGATGAAAATCTGTTGAAAACTGAAAAAGTTATAATTTTTAATTTTATTAATTTCTCGATCGTTCCTATGGGAGCTATATGATATAGTAGTCCGATTTTCATAAAATTTTATACAAAATTGTAGAGTAAAGTAAAATGGCTATATCTCAAATTTGATCCAATTCTATTGAAAACTGAAAATGTTAAAATTTTTTTTGTAAAAATTTTCCGATCATTCCTATGGCAGCTATATGATATAGTCGTCCGATCTGGCCCGTTCCGACATATATACGAGTGAGAGTATATAGAAGGCTAACTACGAAGTTTCATTCAGATAGCTTCAAACTGAGACTAGTTTGCGTAGAAACGGACAGACGACAGACGACAGAAGGACAGACGACAGACGGACAGACGGACAGACGACATGGCTAGATCGACTCGGCTGTTGATCTGATCAAGAATATATATACTTTATATGTCGGAGTGCTCCTTCACTGCGTTGCAAACTTCTGACTGAAATATAATACCTGCAAGGTATAAAAAATAAAAAACGAAGAGAGAAACAAAACATTTGTACATAACAATAAATAAAATTGCATTTTCATTTTGACCCTCGTTGGGTCGGTCTTTTGGCCTGGGTTCTACTTGGGTCTAGTTCCCTTTTGTTGTATTTTCCAAAGAAAGCCGAAGGGAAAATCATGAGGAAAAAAAGGTTCCACAGCAAGATCGTTAGGCATTTTCCTGTTATTCGAAAGTAATTAAAAGGCTAAGACTTTGAGTCTTTACATTCTTAAAAGAGTCATTTTCTATACCCTTAAAGGGTATTATAATTTTAGTCAGTAGCTTAGTTGGTTTCCTCTTTTGTTTAAAATAATTTTATCTAAGCTTAGGGAACTTTAAAAACCGTGTCCATTTAACTTTAATATTTAGTCTGTTAACTAGGTAAAGTTTTCTAAAAGAAAGCTATTGTTAAATCGAACAAAAGCATCAATTTTTAGCTGCTAGCTGTCATTGTTCAATGGCTTTGATCCGGGAAAACCTCAGCATTGTAGTGTGTAATTTCCCTGGGAAATTCGTATAGCTACCACCTTTTAGAAATTGCTCACTGCAAAATATGGTCACGCAATTATCGTCTGCTAATTTGAATGAACCCACCGAATAGCCCCACCGAA